AATGCCCATTTTCCACAGTTTGATATGATTCTTTAGGGTCTTAATGAAAAGTCTAAAACATACTTTGGTTAAAATTTCTCAATGTTCGTGTAAAATAACACCCTTTTTACCTTGTCAAAAACAGCTCTGTTTATAGCAAGCTCTTGCTTGCATGTCCCTTTAAATGATAATGAGCTCTGCTCACCCCGCCCCTCTCTTTAAATTTTAGCTGCATTCATCGTGAAACTTGCTAACAAGCATATTATTAGGAAAGGCGATTTTGCAAAGATTCATAAAAAAAACACCTTATACTCACTTATACTTATTACTCAATACTCAATGTAGGTGAAGCTGGATCATGAATTATTCGCATGAACATAGACACATTTAGGTAGATCGGGAGGTGCATTCCCTTTAAAAACAAACGTAATCCACTGCGTCTTCAGCGGCTCAGATGTCGGAAGTAAATATTACATACAACAACAGAACACCTCAATCGCTTATGAGACATTCTTGTCTACAACTGCTCCAGCGTCAAAACAACGGTGGAATGATGACAGCTCACTCAGGGCGGGTCTGTGCTAAAACCAAAGACTGACACCACTGTCAATCAACAATCGTGGGAGGGGCCTGTGCAGAACTATGTCATTCTGCCAAGAATATGTGAATGGCTTGATATGATAAAGAAGGGGCGGATTAAGCTGGTCAGGGGCCCCTAGGCTGCTCTTTGTGTGAGGCCCCCCTTATGTTTTACTGTAGAAACGTTAGTGCCATACATAGTCCACATGCGAATAAGTAAGCAAGTAAGGTGAACTGGCATACACACACACATCGAGACAGCCAATTCTACAAAGTTTCCTCTACATTCCCAGTGTCCTCACAGCATTTTGTGAGACTGTGGTGGGTGACAATTGGTTCACCCCCCCATAAGACAATTATGTTAATTTTAAATTTAAATGCATAAATCTGGTGCATTTTGAGAGCAGAATCAAGTGACTAGATCAATTAAGAAATATGTGCTCTTGTAAACAAGTTTGTGCTCTAGTAGTAATTTATTTATTGGTTGCATATATGTGAATGTGATGGTAGGACACAATTTTCACTATATACATTCTTATAAAAGCAAGATCAGGGAGTGATTTTCTCCTTGTCTTTTGTTGTTTGATTATCATTAACGCCAACACTTAACTCAAGATATGAGACGAGACACAAGATTGGGTTCACGAGAACGAGGTGAGATTTTTACACATTATTTAAAAAAAAAAATTCTCAATGACCAAATACATAAAAATAGTCTGCAGGTGCATTTTGAATTGTTTTAACTAATCATCTTGTAATAAATGTCAATTCAGTTCTATTTCTGGGTATGAATTATCATATGCAGTAAAAGACAAGAACACTCAAGCACTGTAAAAGGTTTTGCCACAAGCTCAACTGACTGGCTTCTGACCTTAGAGCTGTACATGAATCATGAGCTTCTAGAACGTTTGACCTCCTAACTGAACTCATTTTCACAAAATGAACATAGAAATAAAAACAGTATAAATAACAAAAAAACAAACACAATGATGTCTTAGTCTTATTAAGTGCAAACAATAAGA